AAGCACATAAAAGAAAAGAACATTGGAGAAAAGAATTATTATCTATTGCTCATTCTCGCTCCTCCTGAGCAGTTCTGTGAAGTTTCTCTGACTTTTTCATCTATGTGCAGTGTACAGAGAAGTTCAGTTCCACTGCTGGGAAAATTGAAATTGTTGGAAAAGTTCAGCAGGTCTGGCAGCATCTGCAGAGAGAAATCAGAGTTAACATTTCAGGTCGAATGACCTTTCCTCAGAACTGTCTGAGTTTCACTGCTATTTACTACCACTCAATGTGTCTAGTTGTTTTTGAACCTCTGCTGGTTGATGTGAAGTCCAATACCATGGTAATAGTTGCAAGTTTGTCCCATTAAAATCTTTTACCTTGTGTTTCCTTTCATAGTATCCAGCCAAAAATACAAATACCATTTTTCAGGGATGGTATTTTTAAACCAGGAAGCATCATTTACTTTCTGGGAAAAACCTCAGTTATTTGTGTCTTAAAAAGGATTTGCTTGAAAATTTCAAACACCTTCATTTTTCAAAAACTTAAAATCTCTCATCAGAATCAAATCAGTCATGGTAAAATGAGTGCCATCTAAAAAGCTTCATAATTTGATGTGGACTATGTCTTTACTTGAGCTTTTCCAAATAGCTTTATCCTGAAGGGCCCAGTGTTCAAGGGGCCACAGAGGCATTAAGTGGTATGGCACCTGCTGGATGAAATGGACTTGGAATGAAAACATTGAGCCTTTTACCCATGTGAGTTACAAACCAAATTCCAGAGTATGAAGGTAGAAGACTGTCACAGCACAGATCTGGGAGTGTCAAAGTATGTCAGTCTGAGGTATGGTTGGTTACCTTTAAAGATTTTGTCATGACTTCCATCAGGATAAGAAAAGAAAATTTACTCAACTGTTGGCTTAATAAGTCTTTCCACAGGGGCACCTCTCGAATGACTGTCATATTGAGCAGCTGATACTGCGTTCATACATGGGATAACAAGGTGTACAGCTGGATGAACACAGCAGGCCAAGCAGCATCAGAGGA